TGTGGCACTCTAAAGGAACAAAACAGCTGAAGCAAAAGCCCTTATCCCCACGCAGGGTATTCCAAAGTAGAACAAAAGCTACCATTCAAGGGACAGGAATGGTCTAGGCTCATTATTGTCAGACTTCCAGGATTTGTTCCAAGAGGAGAAGTTTTTACAAACCGAGAATCCCCAGTGGTGCTAGAAACCCAAACACAGTAGCCCAAGGTCTGCAGATGCACCAGGAAACAAACTTCGCTTTGCGCATACGAAAAAAGTGAAAATCAGCTGAATGGCTCCCAAACCCTGGCAAAGGAGGGAGGATGAAAAAACACAACTCGAATGTTGACTAGATTTCAACATTTGTTCTTGGGTGATGATCTTTAAGACATATTAGTTCTGCAAAAAAATAACTGCTTTCAAGACAGTTTCTGCCTTGGCAACGTCTACCAAACAGCTCCAAGGGCCCCATGGGCCAGAGTCGAATTGGAAGCCAGACCCAGCAGGGGCCTTGTCAGGACTCTCACTTCTCCAGCGTCCCCATCTTCCCCTGCCCTCCCAGTGTTGGCCTCACACTGCCACTGGGCCCAGAAATGAAAATACCAAGTGGAAGGGTAATTAGCCACCGTCACACACACTGAGAGGGTGAATGCGGCCTCAGCCTGGCATTTCCGGATCACCACGGCTTGGTGTTGCCAGTCTGCCTCTACTGTGAGGCAGTTTCATGGCCACCTATTGGCCTGAAAAATATTATTCTTGCTATCAAGCGGGTTTTGTCTCCTGGGGTCCATGGGCATTTGGCCTGCCCTGATCTTTGTCTACCGTTCTGCGATGGTGTCTGGTTACACAGGGAAATAAGGAGTAGAACCAGCCTCCCCTGTAACGTGGGCTGAACAATGCTGCCTCTTGTTCAAAATCCATTTGCCCTCCTGGCTGGCTGCCTACAAGGAGGCCAGCAGACTGGAGGTTAATGAGAACTAGGAGGCCGGAGGGGCTGTTCTGTCTTGGGTGTCTCTGCTGACTCCAGTGTCTCTGTGGACTTCTCCTGATGCAGAGATTTCTGGGAGAGCATGAAAAGGAAAAGAGAGAGGGGCCCCAGGGTCCTAAGCAGGGAAATGGTTTCAGCACAGCCAGCAGGTCCCACCCTGCAGCGTTGGCTTTGTTTTCCTGTTGGCTGTCGGAGAGGGAGAAAGTGGAGTACTTCTACATTCACATAGTTTCCATATATTCCGCCAAGTGCACATAACGCTTTTATAAGCAAAAATAATAAAATGTGCAATAAAACTCAGCAATTATAATATGCTACTGTGCCTTAAATAAAGTTTTTGTTTGTTTGGTTTTTTTGTTTGTTTTTGTTTTCAAATTTGCTGTAGGGCATATACAGTCACCAGAGACAGAGAATGAAAGAGGAAAGTGCGAAAGAAAACCCTTTCTGATGTGGGCGGGTGGCCATGCTGCAATCTCCTCTCCATTCTCTCAGGATTTGGGGCAGGCATGAAGACATGCCTGATGTGTCTTTCAAGCTGCCGAGCCTGGTGTGTTTTTCGAATCATGCAGTCGGCCACGTGGAATTCAGCCACCTTAAGCCTGCCCCCCCCCATCTCAAATGATATTTTTTAAAAAAACCCAAGAACAAAATTTATTCCTTAATGGCCTTAGGGAGACAAAAAGAGCATCTAATGAGGTGAACAGAAACGCTTTCAAGGGCATATTTTACAGGGTCTTTCATGTTCTCTTCCCTGCAGGGTAACAGCAGGACAGAGAACAGCCTAGAACAGGGTGGCAGCCGGGAGGCCCTGTCCTACCTCCCAGGACACAGTGGCCAGGAGCATGGGCCTGTCTCTGTCCCCATATCCTGCCAGAGCCTGAGATCCCTCCCTGACAGCTGCCAAACATTCACCTGCACTGACTCCTTCTGTCAGAGAGAGACAGCTGAGGTCTGAACATCACAACGTGCTTGAACTCCAACGCCTGCGTGTCAGACCTGAGCCATGACGAGTTCTGAGAACTGACGTATTTTATAACCCTCAGAGAAAACACTTGTTCACAAATATTTGTTTTCATAGCCGTAGGGCCGACTTGCCCTGCCAGAGTTCCTGCAGGTATGTACTTAGTAGAGCTTACTTTGCTTAAAAACAAAACGAAATATCACCAACAACAGATGGCAGAGAACGAGGGGAGGAGGGTGATGGGTAACAGGGAGGCTGTCCACTGCCTCGTCTGGGATCAGAAGCTGGTGTTCGTTTGTGGGGATAAGGTGCCCAGCGCTTAGGCCTAAAGGCACACATGCAGCTTTTTCCTGGGCCTCGTGGGAGGCCAGCTTCCCGGGCACAGCTGGGATATGCATTAGAGGAGGCAGAGGTTGAGAGTGGTGGTGCACATTACTGGTCTAGGCTTCGGGGGCTCAAGGGGAGATGGCTCAGCCTCCCAGAGGAGGCTGTGCAGGCGAAGGGCTGTGTGACGCCAGGGCCATACCTTGCGGTGTTTCACCACGTAGTAGAGGATGGGCGCCCGGCTCCCGCTCTCATGCCGAGGCCGCCACACTAGCTCATAGGAGTCGGTCTTGGAGGTCCGGGGCGAGCTGAGGATGATGGGGGCCTCGGCAGGCACCACCTGCCCCTTCTCTCCTGGGCACTGCGGGGAAGCAGGCTGCGCTGTTGGCAGGGGTCTGGGGAGCCCCAGTCGCCCCCTCAGCATCTGGTCAGGGCTGGATGGTCTGGAGGGTGGCACGGGAGGTGTGGCAGTGGCCAACTTAGCATCCCGCCCGGGCCTCAGAGTTGTACCTGGAGGGCGGAGCAGGAAAGAGAAGGGAAGGGAGAGGCGTGTTGGTCCCCCTGGTTCACCTGATGTAGGGAACTGGGAAAGCATCCCAGACAATACCTGGGGTGACCATCGGCCTGCTCTGTGACACAGCTGAACGAGGACCGGGGCCCCTGTCCCCCAAAAGGAACCTTGCCCAGGCTTCTTGCAGAAGCTCAGAGGTCACATGCAAGCACCTCACAGTGCTGTTCTCCTGAAGTTGCACGAGGCATCCCCTGAGGGAATGACCTACAGCTGCTCCTGAGGCACAGAACCCAGGGCCTTCCTTCTTACCCCTGGGTTGGGGGTGGGGACATGTCTCCTCCCGTGGGATCTTCACACCATAGCACCATGAGGGCCGTGTCCTACTCCTCAGAGGAGACGTAAGGCCAGCTGGGAATGCCCTCTGGGCATCTCCTCGGGGGCCCGGAGAGGCAACGCCTTCTTCAGGAAGCCTCCACAGACACACTCACACAGGCCTCCTCGACCTGGCCTTCCCAGGGCAGGTGCCAGTTGGAAGGAATCAAGCTGATGACAAACTGCTTGCCTTTGGACTAGCACAGTGGTTGTCAAACTGGGGTTCATGGAACCCTCAGAACCCACAGATTCTTAAGACGGAACATTTTTTATAACCACAACAGTTTAGACGAATCATTTTCCTTAGGACAACTCTGCACTTCCGCTGTATTAATCTGTTAATGTAAACTTGAACTTGTAACTAAAATCCTTTTTTCTATTTTATATAATGGGTTTCTCGGGTGGATTTCATTCGAGAAAAGGGTTCTGTGACTGTTCAGCTGCAATGGCAGGTCCTTGGAGGACACTCACCTGGCCTGGCAGTCCGCAGCTGGACCACGGCATGGGCACTCCCCACTTCATTCTCAGCCATGCACTGGTAGACGCCATCATCCTCGGGCCCCACGCTGACCACACGCAGGGCCCTGCGGGACAGTCGTAGGCGCTGGCTGGAGACGAGGGGCACGGCATTC